ACATCCCCTGTTCTCAGCTCCCTCCCAGCTCTAACATTCCCTGTTCTGAGGCCCTCCCTCCCAGCCCTGACATCCCCTGCTCTAAGGCCCCTCCCAGCCCTGACATTCCTTGTTCTGAGGCCCCTCCCAGCCCTGACACTCCATGTTCTAAGCTCCCGCCCAGCCCTGATGCTCCATGTTCTAAGCTCCCGCCCAGCCCTGACATTCCCTGTTCTAAGGCCCTCCCTACCAGCCCTGACATCCCCTGCTCTAAGGCCCCTGGCAGCCCTGACCTTCCCTGTTCTAAGGCCCTCCCAACCAGCCCTGACACTCCCTGTTGTAAGGTCCCTCTGATCCGAGCCCTGACATGCCCTGTTCCAGTGGTCTTTTTTTTTTTTTTTGACAAGGCAATGGGGTGAAATGACTTCCCCAGGGTCCCACAGCTAGTAAGTGTCAAGTTGCCTAAGGCCAGATTTGAACTCAGGCCCTCCTGACTCCAGGGCCGGTGCTCTATCCACTGCGCCACCTAGCCGCCCCCAGAGGTCTCTCTCTACAGAGGAGGTCACCTCAACCCAGGACGCAGTGACTGACCCAAGGACAGACATCTAGCTGGCTGGGTGCTGCGCTCTCATCACATCATCGGGGGGAGGCCGTCTGCAGTCCCAGGGTCTGTGATTCTAAGGACATGGCCTTCCCACCCCCGCCTCCTCTCTCTAGCTCGCTTTTGGCCGCCAGGCCCCGGCCCAGCCCTCTTGCTGCATCTTAGGCTGAAGGGGTGCTCCGTGGGGCTCTGCTTGCCCTCCTTCTTCCTCGTCCCCCCCTGCCTCCCGCCCTCAACACCACCCCAGGCTGCACCTTCGTAAAGCATCCCGTTCTGGCTGCTGCACACCAGCGCCCCCAGCCTCCAGCACCGGCCATCCTTGTCTGTCAGGACCTCGCACGTCCCCAAGGACTCCGGACACAGAGCTTTGACGGGCTTCTGTCTCTGGCGGGGGTCCTGGCCTTTGGGAAGACGAGAGCAGCATCTCAGAGACCCTCTCGGTAGCCGCGCTTAAAGCCGTTCAGGGCCGGGGAGCTCCCTCCAGCCCGCGGCAGGCCACTGCTGGGGTACGCAGGAGGAGCCGCTCGGCCGCGGACGGGACGGCACAAGGTCACCGGCTCCGTCGGTTCTGGAGCTGCCAGGGAGGAAAGTCGTCCTCCTGCGCCAGCCGGCGCCATCTCTCCCTCCTCTGCCCGAAGCATCGGGCCGGGCAGTGCCCGCTCTCACCTTTGGCCTTCCCCAGGGAGCTGCACGCTGCTTCCTCCTCGGCGATCTCCTGGGATCTGGTGGCGGATGAGGGAGGCGAGGTCTGGGGCAGGGGCCACTTTCTTTTTTTCCTCTGGACCTCTTGGCCTTGGTGGGCCTCTCTCTTCTGGGGGACTGGAATAGTGAACAGAGGGCTGGCTCAAGCGTGGCCCCCAGCCCCAGCACAGGGTGGGCCTCCCCCACGGCCCGCCTCCCACGTCCTCCCCTGGAAGGCCCCTCTCTCCCTGCCTTTCCATGGTCTCTCCCAGCTCTCAGCTTCTGTGTTTTACTAAGTCCTCAAACTCACGCTCACGGACACAGCAGCGGGGGCCCTCAGCGGCCACACGGCCCGCCCCTGAGGCCCAGAGAGGCCGGGAGACTCCGCCACGGCCACCCACAACCGATCCCCAAACGCAGGTGGTCTGGCTCCGGAGCCGGGCCTTCCCCACGAACACCCAGGCCGCAAAGCTGGAGGGAAGGGCCTTGCTCTCCCGTTTTCACACTGTCAGGAGAGTCAGCGGTCAGTCACAGCCCACGACTGCCAGGGGCCGGGCTCCGCGCTGAGGATGCAGAGAAAGGCAAGCAGGTGCTGGCCTCCGGGAGCCCCCAGCCCAACGGGGCAGATGCAGCAGCAGGAAGGCGCTACTGGCGGGGAAGGGCCGCTGGCACAGCCTGCCTCGAGAAGGAGCAGGGAGCGCATTCCTGGCAGGGGATCCCAAGCCACAGTCCCCGAGCTGAGGGGGGGAGGTAAGTGGAGGAAGACTGGAAGGGCTCTGAATGCCAAGCAGAGGACCCTGTGTCGGTCCCGGAGGCCACAGGGAGCCCCTGGAGATGACTGAGTGTGTGGGGGGGCCTGTAAAAGGAAGCACCCCACAGGTCAGTGCAGCAGTGACGGCAACGAACGTGGGACTTGAGGGGAGCCGGGGAAGGCAGGAGGTGAGGAGGAGGAGGAGGGAGAAGCCTCCAGGCAGACCCGCCCAGAGCTGGGAGCTGAAGGAGGCCTACACAGTCAGGTCACACAGGAGCACTGGCCGCCCTCAAGGCCCATCCTCGGCCCGGAGGACTGGCAGCCGGGCTGAGTAGCGGCTCACACGGCGGATGGCGGAGGAGGGGGAAGGAGCACCGGACAGCACCCAGGCCAGCGGCTGGCTTTTCCAAACTGGCCGCCCCACCTCTCTGCCAGGCGTGCGTGACTGTTAGGAGCAATGTAGAAGGGGAAGCCAGGAGCCCCAGTGTTAGCAGGCGTCACTGAGCGTGACTGAGCGCCTGCTAGACCCGGGAGGAACAAAGACACAGGGGACGCGGTCCCTGGCCTGCCTGCGGGCTGCGACAGGAAGGGTCCGGAGGCTGCAGGCATGGAGGCCGAGGGTAGAACGGAGGAGCGCTGACTGAATGCTTACTCTATGCCAAGCACCACATCAAACGCACAGACAGAGCCTGCCCTCACGAGGGGCATCGAACTGCCGGTGCGAAGCGCCTCACGTGGACGACAGGCCGTGAGCCCCTCCTGGTGCTGCGCCTCGGGGTCCCCTCCAGCCCTGGGATCGCCGGGCCCCTGAGGTCCTCAGGCCCCCCAGGCCCCGCCTCCTACAGAGCCCACCGCGGGTCCGTCCTCAGGGCAGCCCTGACCGCGCTCCTTGGGGACACGCGGGGTCTCTGCCTACGTTCAAGGGAGCTTTTCCTGAGGGACCTGGAGGAGTCCTGGGTTCAAACCCCGCCGCAGCGGCTCTGTTAAACGAAGGAGCTGGATTACAGGCCACCAAGGCGTCTGCAGCTCAGCGCGTAGGATTCTAGGCCCAAGGCTCAGAGGCTGGACCAAACAGCCGCAAAGATGCCTCCCGGCTCTGCGGCTGCAGAGGGCAGTCCTGAGCTGGGCCGGCATGGGGCGGGGATACAGGCAGGCCTCGGAGTCAGGGAGACCCAGGTTCACATACGGCCTCAGACATAGATGAGCTTTGTGACAGGTCGCCCCCTGAGCCTCAGTTTCTTTTTTGTTTGTTTTTGTTTTTAGCTAGGCAATGGGGTTAAGTGACTCGCCCAGGGTCACACGGCTAATAAGGGTCAAATGTCTGAGGCCGCATTTGAACTCGTGTCCTCCTGACTCCAGGGCCGGTGCTCTATCCACTGTGCCACCAAGCTGCCCCCCTCAGTTTCCTCATCTGTAAAATGAGCAGGTTGGCCTTGTGGGTCCTGACCCCGCCATGCCGTCACCTGCTAATACTCCGCCCCCCACCCCTTGACCCGCTTCCTGCTTGAAACGAAGGGGTCCACATGTCTGTCCTGTTCTGCACACCAATTCTGAAAACTGGCCGAATGGCAGCGCCCGGGTTCAGTGGACAAACGAGTCTGAACAAGATCAGCCTCGAGCCCCAGCCAGGGGGACCTCGACCGGTCAGCCTTCACCCCATTCCTGCTCTGCTCCGGCTCCCTCCCTGAATGGGGTGACTGTGCCCCAGCGGGAGAGCCGCCCTCGCTGCTGAACTCAACCAACCTCGCTCTGCCTTCCACATTTCTGGTCCCGTCCCTCTGCCGCCCCTACGTCTATGACCCCCATCTTTGCGGGCCATTCCCACTCTGCCATGCAGTGTCAGCTTTTAGAGTGAGGACTCCTGAGGACCGTGACAGCTCAGACCCAGCGCCTCCACACACGCAGGACTTTGGACACAACTGTCCCTCTGAGCCCAGAGTTCTGCAAGGCCTGGCCTGGACAAAGACTGGTCAAGATGACCTTGGGGGCCCCACGGCCCAGCAGCGTACCTTTTCCTGTGGTCCCATGCTCCTCCAGAGAGCTTCCGTCCCCCGGCGCATCCTTATCTGGCAAGAGGTCTCCGCAGTATGGGCAGAAGTGGAAAGTTGGCTTTACCTCCCCCCGGCACGCTGGGCAGAAACGGATGACTCTGTGGGAAAGCAGGCACCGTCACGTCCGTCAGCAGGGTGTGCCCAAAGGAGAGGGGAAGGGAAGACGCTGGCGGCCAGCCAGAGCGGGGCCTTCCTCCCTGCTCCCTGCTGCTGTCTGTGACCCCCTCAGGGGACTCTGGGGACCCCCTGCCCTCTCACAGCACATCAGCCCCGAGGCCAGAACCTGAAGGCAACGTCCATTCCCTCCGCGGCCTCAGCCCTCCCGCAGGCCGCGGCCCTCTGGCATCAGTGGGGATGGGCAGGCCTCCCGACTGGAAGGAGCTGGGCTGAGAAGCTCTATGAGGTCCTGGTGACCAGGCCCCTACATCACTGCAGGCCTCAGCTTCCTCTCAACACGGAGAGCTGGCATCACCGAGCTCTAAGAGTCTGGGAGATGCCACCACCTCCAAGCTCTTCTGCAGAGCCGCAGGGCTCTGTGTAGAGGGCAGGACAAGAGCCTGGACTTTGGACACCTGGGCTCAAATCCAGATGCAGATGGATGAGTCACTGGATTTCTCTGGCTCTGTCTCCTCACCCAGTAGACGGGGGGACCCCTGTACTCCCCACCTCAGCAGGGTGCTATGGAACAAGGGCTGTACGCTTGAAAGAGCCAGAGAAACGGGGTTCTTATCGTCCACTCCCCTCAGGCGCCACACAGGGCCCAGGACATTCTCACATGCTGCGTTTCCCCATTACACAGGGAGCTTCCTCAGGGCAGGGCAGGGTGGGAGCTAGGCACAGCACACAGGCTCTGATATATATACTACAGGCAATAAATGTTGAACCAAAGAAACAATTTCCCCCTTTCTTGGCCTCTATTGTCTCATCTCTAAAATGGGCACGGGATGGGGAATCAGGGAGCACTTCAGGGATCCTCGAATCCAGCCCCCTCATGTGGCAGAGAAGTGACTCCCCCAGAGTCTCTAGGTAGCAGCCCTGGGGCCAAGCGAGGCCTGGAGCCAAGGGGTCACGATCCCTGCCCAGAGGAGAGGCCGGAACCAGACTGAAATGCGCAGGGAAGCATTGACCCGAATAAGTGAAAACACCACATGACACAGATAATGTGAACGTATGGTTTTCTACACTCTGGCCAGCAGCAGCGGCTTCTCTCGGAGCTGGCCACCACACAGGATGAGACTGAGCCTCCAGGGGGCAGAGCCCTCCCGACTCCTGGGGCCAGGCTTCCAAGGCGGCCCAAGAGCCTGGAGCCCAGAAAGCCCAGGAAGGGGAGAGCCCCGCAAGCAGAGCAGAGGATCAGAGGCAGGAGACCCAGCACAAAGACAAGGCAACATGCCTCAGCGCTCTCAGGACCCGGAAACACAGAGAGAACACTGCAAGGAACGTCAGGCACAAAACATGGGGGGCAGGAACGCAGCAGACAAAGGGGAAGGGAACTCAGCTGTGGCAGGCCTGGAGAGAAGCCGCCACACAGGAGTCTGAGGTGGATGACAGCTGGTGCACAGCAGGGCCGGCTCCAGGGCAGTGCCTGCCCCCCCATCCCAAGGCTCAGTCCTAGGGGCTCCCCAGTGCACGGCGGGGCCGGCTCCAGGGCAGT